TCCAGGAACCTCCCAGACTGTTTCCTCTCTTGTTATACTTCCAGCAGATGTCAGATGTGTTTTTCAACTTCGTAGAAACAAGGATTAATCACGGACAGAAAGGGTTTTGGTTGGACGGAAGAGGTTCAATTTGCCCTTATAAAATCCATTTTACCTCTTTTATCAGAAGATTCTCTCAAAATAAAAGAAATTTTAAAAGTAGAAACTAGAGCTTGCCAGAAGAGAAGAGCTATCTTTCATGTAAAACGGAGTGGAAACACTGTTGTGGCCATGAAGACCAACTGATACTGTAAGAAAAAGTGGGCAGTCTTTTTTGGCATGTGTTTCTTTGTGACCTGAAGAAATTTCAGGAAAGACACACATGTATGCCACTGATAGCAAAAGACCAACTTATGTCAGTTTAGAAACTTCTAGAAATATGCAGGAGAAAGGCTTTCTATTTAGAAACTTAATGGTGTTCGAGATACTAGGTTTTTTAGACAATGCATTCTTCTTGGATTTTTGTTTTTACTGGTACATGAAAATTTAGTTGCTTAAGATCACTCTTCTGTTTTTCTTTTTAAAGAAAAAATAATGTATATTTTGTAAATTTTTATTATTTGTCCTTTTTTACTTATGATTTTCTTTTTATTTAAAAAATTCCATAGGAGTCTTTAAATAAATGATAACCATTTTAGTTAAAATAGAAGTGTAGGGCTTAGAAGGGAGCTACCAAGATCATGTAGTCTTTCATTTCCCTCAACCAAATCCTTCAGCCTTTCATTGTATATCATGTTTTCTGAAACAATTATCATTCTTGCTACCCTTTCTGACTTCTCCCCAATTTGGCTGCATTCTTGTTAGAGTGCACTTTGCTGAAACAAGCAAAGTACTTCAACTCAGGCCCTGCGAAAAGGAAATTTCCCTATCTTGAAACAACAGCTGATTCAGTTTGTGATTAGCTATAATTCTTAGTCCTTTACTTCTGGACTGCTGCTTATATAATAATTTTTCATTTTGTATTCATGCTTTTGACTTCTCCTTACCACTTGTGGTGTATTACACTTTTTTAATTCCATTATGTTGATTTTAAACCTTTACTCCTACTCTTCAAAATCCTTCCACAGCCTAATCCTATCCTCATTTCAAGCCTTTCCAGTTTAGTGTCATCTGTACATTTCGTCAAGGTATTCTCTGTTGGAGTTTTGAGACTCCTTTCTGGTTTGGCAGTGAATCACCAATAACAATACTATGTTATATTTGAACTGTGGGAGCAGGAGAGTTTCCCAGTCTAGGTACCTCTTATTTCCATGTCTTGACTATTTGTCAGAAGGAGACCTGGGCTCATGTGTCCCGGCTGGCTCTCAGAGAAACGGTAGGCATGTGGATAGGCAGTGCCTCCCAGCTTGGACAGCCAGGAACTGCAAGGGAAGGCAGGAGCAAGTGTGGAGTGCATCTGCCTCTAAGCCGAGACGCAACTTCTGAGAGCACTTTTGTATTTGATGAGGCGCTTAGCCTATAAAGATTTCATCTAGATTAATTTTTCTCATTTGTTTCTGATCTTGGTATATAGGGTGGTATGAAAAACATTAAAACAAATCCACATAGGTTGTTTTTCATTACTTTCTTATCTGCTATTGTCCTGTAGGTTGATTGACTGATAATTAGTTTTATTTCCTTTCCAGAAATCCAAGTTAGGCACACTGGTTACATGCATATAGAAAAGCCTTTGCTGAGAAAGTCAAATGATTAATTTCTTTTGTTTCTAACTTCATCTCTCCAGCACTAATAACGCACGCTTGCAAACCTGTATGCTCTACCTTTTCCTGACCACACACAGTGCACAGATTGGCCTGGCTCACACGGCCTCGAAGGGTAGGTTCCAAACAGATCTGAGCCTGCAAATTTCTGCTGTTACTCTGCCCATCTCATCCTCTTCAACATCCTCTTCAAAGATACTTAGTACCAGCAGAGAAAAATAACCAACCTAATTATACTCCATAACTTTGCTGATCTGTTAGCTGACTCCATCTCTTTAGGCATGAATATCACAGTAATGTTTTAAAAAGCTTCTAAAATACAAACTGTGCAGAAAAGCCACACTGTTTTTATGTAAAATTGTCAGTGATGTTTAATAAAAAAAATTGGGTTTGGATATCTTGGGATGCTTTTATTAAAATTGGCTTACTTAAAAACATTCAGCGAGCTATTTTCAGTAACCTATTGTCCTGCACCTATATGGTGCAGAAATGGTTATGACCAAAAAGCTTGGACCTTGAAGCTGGAGAAGAGGCACACCACAGAATAAGAGGTGGAGCCTTCTTGGAAAGATGAAGATGCTTTAACATTAGATGGAACTGAGGAAACAACAAATTTCTGGCTGTGAACTGGTTGTTCATCAGTACATTTTTAGACAGCAGAACAGTCAAATCAATCATTTCTGTTAAGACCTGGTATTGTCTGGCACTTCTGAAGTAACTCATTAATCTAACTCAAACACATGTTAATTTGTAATTTTTTTTAAAGATATAACTTGCCTTGTAATTTGCACAGACACCTGTAAAATTGTAATAGTTTGCAGCCTTTCCTCAGCACTGGTTTAGTGACTGGAGAGTTGTGTTTTACTCAAGTGTGACTCTGCTGTACAATGTATAAAGCTTGAATTCAGCCATTTCCTTGTTTATCAGAGAAAAGCAACAGTGATGAATAATTAACTTGAAGTATTATTATATGGCATAAATTTTGATAAAACTGATCTCACTGTGTTTGTTTCTTTGTGTCCAGGAGACCATGGAGCTACAGGAGAAAAAGGATTACGTGGGGAATATGGAGAACCAGGAATTCCAGGGAAAGATGGTGAACCTGGTACTCCAGGACATCCAGGTATGTCTGAAGCTAGCAACAGAGAGACTGTTCATCAGGTATTTTAAACCACAAGAACTAATGGGACTCCTAATTTCTCTGCTGTTTGTAGGACCAAAAGGTGATCAGGGTCCCCCAGGGTACCCAGGGGATCCAGGAATTCCAGGACAAAAAGGATCAGTTGGTGAAATGGGTTTGCCAGGTACTGATTGCTGGGAATTTCTTGTTGTTTTCCTCAAGTTAATATAGAACATTATGAGAGACCTGTATGGAATATTCATTGGTATACATCTACTAAACGGTTGCACTGTTTGCAGTGTCTGAACTTTAGGGTTTTGGGACATTGCTTTCTCAATCCTACTGTGATATACAAATAATAGGATGGTTTCCTAAGTTTCTACATGCAAATTCTTTAGCTGGATGTATAGGATTTGTGTATTTGTTACAGACAGGCAGTTTTTCAAGTGATACCTGTTTGTCTGTCTGTCTCTGCCTCTGCTAGTGTGTGAACTGCATTAAGCTTCTTGTGTGTTTTCCCCTTTTCTAAAAAGTTTGGTGAGTTGCTGTGTACTGCATGTTAATTTACAAACTGTAGTGGTCTGGGAAGAATGTTGCTGTGGAGGGGATTGGTAAAGAATAGGACGGAGAAGAACCTATATCTCAACACAGAAATGTTGTCTCCATTCAGATGGCCTTGTGCCTGGCATATTTAGGAAATCAAAGGTGAAAGACTGGAAATAGTAAATGGGGACAGAAAAATTTGCTACAGCAGACTCCCTTTGTCACTGTGGTCCTGTTAGAAATTATTCAAATCAACATAAAATTTTATTCAGATCATATTTTTAGCAAGAGCTCTGTTTACTCTGAATCCCAGATTACGACCTTCGCTTATGACGAGAGCTTATCTTCCCATTAAAAGCCCCATTTAGAGGGTGAATCTCAAAAGTTAATTTACTAGCTATTTTAGTGAGTTACATTGCTTTTCTAGCTGTGAATAGCTAAGGCAACACTGAAAAATCATTGTCAACACTGCTAGGGTACCACTAGTTATGATATACACATTTTTCCTTTTCTCTTACTAGGAACACCTGGAGAAAAGGGTCTGCCTGGAGTACCAGGTTCACCAGGCACGCCAGGGTTCCCTGGGCAAAAAGGTGAAAAAGGAGACAAAGGAGCACCAGGTTTTCCTGGAATTGGCTTTCCAGGGTCTCCTGGTGAGAAGGTATTTACACCCACAAGGATTTAACTGTCTGTCTCTACCAAGTAGCTGATCTGTAAAAGATGCTGTTGGCCTTTAAGCTATTTTGTTATATTTTCTATTATGCTCGTTTAAATACCTGATGAGAAACTTGAAAGGTGTGCATATGCACAGGTTTAGATGCATTCTGTTTGATGGGACCATTATCTCTAGGGCTCTTATATATTCTGTCTCTGCAGAATAGGCTAATTTACAGTGCTAGAAAGGTGGTGGAGGGGAAGAACTTTTAAAAATACTAAGTAAATAAAGTGAAAAAGGCTTCTTAAAAATGGAGCAAATAATAGCACTGAAATAGTATTTCTATGCTTTTACAGAGCTACTGTGAAGCTGAAAAAAACTATAAAATGCTCAGATATTACTGAAATGAGAACTCTATTAATACTGTCTGTAAAGTTAATTTAATCTCTAATAGTATTCTAATAGGATTCTCATTTGTTTCACATTCCTTTTCCTAGCTATACAATGACAGTAATCATGAATTTATAAGTAAAAACTGTAAAAATAAAACTTACTAATCTGGTAGCAAACTTGCTGAAGAGTTAAAAAAAAGATTTTTTTTTTAAGATGATTAAGTGTAATAAGTAAGTTAAGAAGCTAATTTGGAAAAGAATTTGTAAAAACCATCATAAAAATGCATAGAAAAGTACTCATTTTCATATGTAGGTATTAAGCAATTGCTAGAAAAGTCAATGATTCTGCTAGTGGAATTTAATGCCAAATGTAATCCTAAATTACTTTGTTTCTAAATGGAAAAAGAAGGAAATTTTTTATAGATTTGATGGATAAGCGGGATGACATCTACTATTGCAAACAGAAAAAACTGTTTCAGAATTAATGTGTGAATTTTATAATGTATGCTGCTTCTTCCAGGGAGAACCAGGAAGAACGGGTAGTCCAGGTTTATCTGGAGATAAGGGTGAAAAGGGCAGTGCAGGAATTCCTGGAATGCCGGGTGCCCCAGGTCCCAAAGGATCCCCTGGCATGGCAGGATTTCCAGGCAAGTGTTTATGCTTTAATAGAACAGAAATTGCAGTGAAAAGTTAATGTTAAACTTATACCAAATATCCCGCATTGTAAACCCATGTTGTCTTCCTTTCTTCAGGAAGCCCTGGCCCCCACGGAGAAAAGGGTGAAAAAGGACTTCCTGGCTTAAGTGGCATTCCAGGTTTAAAAGGAGAACCAGGTAGAAAAGAAATATAAACCACCAAATCCTACTTAAAGTATTGTTCACCTCCAGGTAGTGGCTAAAACAAATACTGTGGCATTCTACATTTGTTTTGGCTCAGCTATTTCCCGGTACATTTGTTCATTTCATAAGCAAAAAGAGGCAGTGCTGTTTCCCAGGTAAATCTGAGTCAGTGTGGTGTAGGAATAATACTCCTTTTGCACTGTTTGTGGAAAAGATTTTTACCATGGCTGTAGCCATTAGTTCTGTTGTTTCTGTGTTCATTTAAAAACAATACAAGTTGATCCAAGGGCCCAAACCTGAATCACCCCATTAGTGTCATTACATGGATGTTAAAGAGGAAATAGAGTAGGGAGGAGAGTAAGTCCATTGCTAATATGAGTATAACAACATTTTGAACTTGGAACCTTGTGTTTTTAGTTTACTGGCTGCAGGACACATTATTTCATTGGTCAATGGGCTGTGCTATTCACAGGTCTTTGCTGGAGTTCCTGCACCCTAAACTCAGTGAGATTCATGATAATTAGCTATGTCAAAATCTGTAATACTTGAGCCCTGTCTCACACTGGTTTAATTCAGAAGTAACCTCAGAGAAAAGTCACACTGAAGTCATCATGCAGTAACTGCTTGGTCTCTGTGGGAACAGAAGAATAAGTTGAGCTTTTCTTTAGAGGAAAAAAAAATGTGTAAAAAAAGAAGTCTGATGATTCCTAGGTAAAATGAAAATGGCAATGATTTTTCAGGTGAACCTGGTGTTCCGGGTCCTGCTGGTTCCATAGGACAGAAGGGTGAACCAGGTTATGATGGGATTCCAGGTGCAGCTGGTGCAAAGGGTGAACAAGGTACTGTGACTGTCATGTTAAGTTTATGGGATATGAAAATGCACAGAGTCAGGCTACACAAGAGTAGAGGCTTGTGCTGGGTTTGAGGTCTTTGGATGGAACCTTAGAAAATACAATTAGTATGGTGTCTTGCAAACTAGTGACTATCATCCATCATTATAACACTGCTCGTTTAGATGAGCAACTGTGTTTAATCAGTGTAATCTTGAAAGCATTTCTTTCACAAAAGCTGGCAATACTTCAAAGAACTGGCATGTTTTGGAATTAATTTCTGTCTGCAACCTAGCTGTGAAATAACGGAGCAGGCTTGCCTTTTCTTAGGGTAGGGTTTTCAGTCATAGAGGACCTATTGTGCTAGATACAATAACAATACATAACAAAGACAATCTCTGCCCTGAAGAAATTTTGCATAAACCGTTTATTTAGGTTTTATATTTGCTTAGTAGAGTTTGGTTCACTATAGGTTAAATTTAAGTACTGTCCTGTCTTCTAATTTTCTGTTGCTGTATATTACAGGTATTCCAGGTAGAGGACTTCCAGGATTTCCTGGTGCAAAGGGAGATAAAGGTAAAACACTGCTTTAAACACGCAGCAAACCTTCTTCCCAACATACTATAAACATAATTCTGTAATTCAGACATACTTTCTACTTCATTCTTTTACATGCTATACCTTTTCAGAGCAGGCAGAAACTCTGAGAGGCTCAAATACTAATTTCTGTTACAGTGGCAGCATCTTGGACATGAGTTAGATATGCCCTAAAATAGGTAATTATTCATAGTGTGGAATTTACTGCAAGCTGTGCTGTGATGAGGTAATGTAAATAACTCCTGTATTTGTGTGCTGTGCTTTTGACTCCAAGTATTTCTGTTTTCCTACTAATTTTGCAAGAATCAAAGTCTAGGGAGGCTCTGTGCACCAGACAACTGAAGATAGTAGTTTCATGGCCAGGATACCACAGTAGTTTTTTTACCTGAATCTGTTGTGCAGCCCACATGCAGTTTTATTCATTGCTAAAACAGCTATTCTCTGTAACTCAGTAGAGCATGTCTAAGCTATGCACAGGAGCATGGTGCAGAGATGCAAAAAGATAGCAGAAACCTGATGAGATCTTACTGAAAATTGTTATTACCTGGACTCAGGATTTATTAGCTTGGGTACAGGCACATACCTATCACTATTTCAAGACCACTCGTGGTCTTCGCAAAGTGTGTCACTACACTGTGCTGTGAGAACAGCTTGATTGGCTTGAGACAGTGCTTGTTCAAGGTGTCTGTAATGCACCATGCTCCATTTTATGAAATAAGTATGACGTAGATACTAGACTGCAATAGATACAGTATTGAAGAAATACCAAACTGCTGCTGATAAAGGAAATTGTGTACAATTAAAGGATTTTAAATTTTAAACATGCAGAAAACAAAAAAGATTCAATTAGTCCATCTATGAAATTAACATGACATGGCAGATTTTGAAGAATTTATGTAGCTTGAAATATCACTCATTCATTCTATAAATACAGCACACTTGTGTGGACAATCAAAAGTTATCAAAAGATAAACCAAAATTGTAGAATATCTTTTATTTACCATCCCAGAGTAATTAACAGTCACTAATTGCTGAGAAAGCCCTAATATTAGAGAACTTATTTTAATAAGCAAATTTTCTAATCGTGGCTCAGTAAGACATGTAGAATACCAGATTATGAGAGCACTTTTCGTACTTTACCCATCCCTCTCATTTTGTCAGCACAGCTCATTTAAAAATATCTGGTTTAGAGTAAACCAGGGATAGTGTTCTTTATACATTTTATTTATCTTATTATTGTACTTATACCAGCTAATCTATATTCTTTTTGCTCAGTCATGATCTAAAATTCGACTGAATTGCAAATGTTAACTATTTGTACAAGCCTGAAAGTAAGTACTTTAAGTGTCTAAATCTAGATCTTAGTTAAAAAATAGTAAATTCCCTTTTTGTCCAGGAGCAAGTCCTTTTGTGCTTAGTCAAGCAAAACATCCATTACTCAGCTATGGCAATAATAATTGTAATGGAGAAAGGGCTTGGGGGCTTTATATTCCTTGTGGAAGGACTGATAGAGAGATGCTGAATGTTCATCTATTTTTAGAGTGAATCAAAATAGCCCTGTGATCAGTTTAGCAAAGAAAAGACATGTCAGTCAAACTACTCTTTTCCTCATACTTTGTGTCATAATGTGGGGAATAATACAGTTTTCCATTTTTAGTTTTGCATTTTTGTACAAATGTATAAAGGCAAGGTCAATATTTTCTTAAGGAATAAAGCTTACTATGAGTAGATAATAAGGCAGAAGGTTTCAGGGATTATGATCCTTTCTCTAATCACGTTTTGGGGATTGTTTCAAATCTTAGGTGCGAAAGGTGACGTGGGTTTTCCAGGATCCCCAGGAAGCCCGGGGATCCCAGGCCTGAAAGGAGAACCAGGATATGCTGGTCCACCAGGCCCTAAGGGCAGCCAAGGTCTTCCTGGACTACCAGGAAGTGCAACTGAGGGCCCTAAAGGAGACAGAGGACCCCAAGGCCAACCTGGCCTTCCAGGTAATTCTTTTAGTATTTGCTGTTAATCAAAGCTCACCTAATAAATTAATAATATAACCAATATTGAATATCCTTGTTTATCCTCTTCTCACAGATCAGAGAAAAGCTCCCCGTCATAGGCAGTTTGGCATATGTCCTAGCACGGGCTGATTTTATGTCTTCAGACAGTTGGTTTTGTCCAGAAAAAACTTTCGGACATTGAGAAGTTTGCCTCCCATTCCAATGTTTCGCCCTGGACTTTATTTACTGTTTTGAGGCAGCCGTGGCTGTATGTTCCTATGTCCAGGAGTGTTAATGTGTTTAAAAATGGCCCAGCGTGGCCTTACCTTGGCAGTGGCCCTGTGCTACAGGTTAAGGAGGAGAGTAGAGCTGAGCTGCAATATCTCTCCAGCGTGTTCATACCTGAGAACATACCATCTCTTTGTTCTGCACATATAGAAAACTCTCCACTGCTTTCCATCAGCCACAGACTGATAAATGATAGATGTCCAGTCAGACGGGGAGTTGTATGGACCTCCCTGCAACAAATTCTCCTACTTATTTTCCTAAAATGTTGTCATGGTAATTACTTTGTTTCTGCCCATCTGTAGATTGAGCCAGCTCATCCTTCATCATGTACTGCTCTGAACAAATTTTGCCACTAAATACTCTCTTCTTCTGGTTTGTAGGTTTACCAGGTCCAACAGGGCCACCAGGACCCCCAGGTCTGAAGGGGGCCAAAGGAGAGCAAGGGAGCAATGGCTGGCCTGGGACTCCTGGAGGGCCGGGAGTCAAAGGTGATCCAGGTTTCCAGGGACTGCCAGTAAGTTACTTTCAGTACACTCCACATTTGCTGAAAGCTGGTTCTTGTAATTAATGGTTATATTAATCATAGATGTTTCTTGTTCAAAATAATGATACTTTATGCTCAAAGTGCCTTTGGACTCACTGCTGACGATGTAAAGTCCGTTTGAAAACATTTCAATTCTTGCCTTTTAAAGGCTGCCTACCAGTAAGCCCCAGTGAGCTAATGAACTTACTAGGAATTATGGATAGTGAGTGGTAACATACAACACTCAGAATATAATTTACAGTGTATTAACAGTACAGGATGGCTGCAGCACATGCATAAATCCTGCAAATGCATTAGTAGTTAATTTTAAAGGTTGCATATTTCACGATAAATTGCCTCCTGAAAATACCTGAACTGTTTGGGTTTGTTATGAAACCTTTCAAATAAAGTGCACTTTCAGTACTGGCAGTGATGAAATATAGCTGCTGATTTAGAAATAAACAGGCAATGCTATTAATACGTTGTTGTAATATATTATTCATTTTCCCTGATCTAAAACAGTCCCTTTTCTGTATATTAGGGAGAATGAAGTAGAATAGGACAGTCACCCAGAATAGTTGGTCTTCTATACTCTTTCTCTCAGAGTGTCTGCTGCCTTTTTCCAAACTGAAAAATAGGCTCTATAGTTTAACTTTTCATTTCCTCTTTCCTATTGAGAAAATAATAATAATAAAATTTATGGAAGAAGCAATAAGAAAGTAGATAGGTATGACTCAAAAATTCCTAGTGTACAAAGGAAGGAAGGTCAGGAATAAGGTTCTGATGTGAAAAGCAGGATACCAATACTGAATTTAAAAGGCCCACATTATTCTTGATAATGCAAAGATCTACTGCATCCTTTTCTGCATCCAAGAGTCTCTTCACAGAGACATTAAAGATTTGCTTCAGTGCTCTGACACTAGATCTTGGCTATGCCTTTTTATCTTTGAGACCATACCATACCAGCTTTGAAGGTAGTAAATTTCAAAATACATTCCATGATATTTTCCCTATTTTAAGAATTTGTAGTACTTCTGCAGAGAGCTAAATTTCTATACCCCAGGAAATTCTAAAGCTTTTCACAGGCTGATATTCCAGTCCGTTAAACAATCCTGCATACTATGACTAGGTGACTGAAGGAAACCAGGGAACCTTACTTCGTTAATACCTCCCTTACCACTCCAATGGCAGCATTTCTTTTGTTTATCTTTGGAAGTCTCAGAGTTGACATCCATTTCTGAGCTAGTCATCTCTTCTCCCTTTACAGTCAGTGGAAAGAATTAGATCACAGAATCACAGAATCACTAAG